ATGAATAAATGTTATTTTAACAACGTTTTATAACGCTGATGTTTTAGATATAATGTATTTAATACATGACTAAAGATTAAAGAAAAATATTGGTACTTTTCCGTTTTGCCGGCGCAAGCGATAAAGCCGCTAATAATGGTACAACCGATGCCAAACGGAATATTCTCGCTGGTAACCTTTTACGCCTCATTTTCAAAACAAGTCGCAGCTTTTTCTTTATCAGATTGATTGTTTCAATACTGACATATAATTACATAGAATTTTTATCAGATAGTTCAGTTTTATGTCCAAGGCCATTTTCGGTAATCAAGTCAATTAGGATGCAATCACAGCGCTTACCCGAAGCCGAAAATATAGAAAAGGTAAAGTCAAGGGTTAAATTCATCAATTCTAATGAGAATGCATTAGCGAAGTAAAGCACTGCAGTTTTACATAATTTCTGAGTAAGCTATTCGTACGAATTGAAATATTTCTTGCATTTAAACTTGTGTTCCAAATTAAGATTTAACTTGAAATTAATGTAGATAATTACTGAGAGCATTAGATTTTGTAGAGTAGTTTACGTGAGATGAGATCGCTTGGGGTCACGTGATATGAACCGGCGAATCAGGATGTTGAACCATGAAAGCGTAGTAAATTCTTAAATTAATGTCTTTTTACAAATTTATTGTCTTTATTTATCGGCTTTTTATAAAATTTTAAGCGATATTAAAATGTTTATGCCTTCAAAAAAAGAATTCTTAGAACTAACATTTTTTTAAATATTTTTTATGTGTATACTGTATGTTATCGCCAATAAAGTCTGCTTGGCGAGATTTGCGCCGGCGAAACGGAAAAGTACCAAAATATTATATCTTTTATGCACTTCAAAGAGATGATGAGTTGACAAAGACTGTGACATGAGTAAAATGGAAAGTCTTTAATTTGACTTCATGACTTCAGTGAAGATCCTAGATACCTAGATGTTTATGTAAATTTAAAACAGGAAAAGATTTAACTATGAAGAAAATAAAATGTGCTTAACTCTGATAGTAAATAGTGAAGAATCTGTCTGTCTGTTTGCCTGCTAGCATTAATGCATGCTGTTCCTCCCATTGTGAAAAAATAGCAGCACTTCGAGCCACAAAATTTGAACACGCATAGTGCTTCACCTGAACATGTGCAGTTTGAAGCCGGAATTCTGGATTCTAAATTTCTTTCCATGTGACTTGATGAAATTCTGATTAACAAAATTAGTGATTTAGAAGCAACATGTTGTCACTCCGCGGAGCGTAATATACTTACTTATATTTTAAATGAATCAATAAACTCAGCGATTTAAGAGGAATAAAGAGATGTAAACAAATATTCAGTACTTTAAAGAATTACTAAGACATATATTTCACGTAATTAAGTAAAGTACACTGTCATTTTAGCTAGATAAAATAATATTTAATTTATCGTACTGCGTATATATAAACAAATGCAAGAGTTAACCTATTTCTTTTTGCCTTCTTATGTGCCGTAAAAATAATTGAATTTCACAAAGAAAAGCAAATGCGGGGCTTATGACAAGTAAAATAAAGAATTTAATTTCTAGTCAATAAGTATTTGATTTAAAAACAGTGTTCAGTTAAGCCGGATTATTGAAAAAGATTTACGAGAAAACGACAAATGACAAAATCATCCCATTAAGTTTTTGCTTATTAATAGAAAGGGAATAGATTTCGTGAGATCAGAACAGTTTTTTATCTTATTAACGTATGCTGTCATTTAATCGAGAAACAATGAATCTAAACAATTGAATAAGTTTATTTCGCTTATCACGACAATTTTTAATAAAGCCTGAATAAACCATTTCATTTCGAAGCGGTACTTATTTATAAAAACGTCTCAAGGAATACATGCTTTCACATAAACTTAAAGAAATATAAAATTAATGAAATACTCGGATAATTTCTAAATTTCGTTATTTAAAAATAGTTACAATTTAAGTGCGAAGTAAAATAAATTAATTCAAATCACTGCAATTTACAATTTATAATGACATCTAAATTTACAATAATACATTAATAATAACAATTTATGAATAATGAATACATTAATATTAACGGGTATTGAAAATCAAGCAAACTTGTTAATAATTTAAAAAAAGAATAATTAAATTTTAAAGTTTAGAATGCCATTTTAACATCTTCTGGATGCTCATTAATAATAAATTTTTGCTTGAGATGGAAGAGGACGCGCGCGAATGTAATTCATAATATTGAATTACTCTGTTTCTGCTAGAATTATCCGTAAAGCCTCTTAAAGTTGGTTAATTAAATTTCTTTGAATCCTTTCACATTCATAAAAATTTCTGTAGCCTTTAATTAATAATATTAATTCCAATTTAATCCTCACTAATGCTTTTAGAATTCTAATATTTTAATTTATCACGTTTCATTACTATTTTCCTCTCGTGCTACACTCGTGCTCGGTTTGCTCCGCCTATTGCTTTCGAAATAAATACAATCGTCACACCTTCCCACTTGGCCCAATTATTTGCTGTTCCCGAAGAAGAGGGATCTCTGTATAATCCTTCTCGAAATAAATACAGTTTTATACAAAAATTACGCCTTTTAAGTAAGATTGCTGTTTCCACTAAATTTAAATTTTCGTTTAGTTAAGAAGTAATTTTAAAAGATATTTGAAAAAGTTTTAGTCATTTCACATAATACTCTAAAAGTTAAATATCAAATTAAAGTTAATAACTATATTATATAAATGGTAATCACTCAAAAATTAAAAAAAATTAATATTCCATTTTTAAGAGTTAATAGCTGAAATTATTAAATTTCGGTACTAATTTCCTCGATAGATGCCACTACGCTAATGCTCCTTTTCCATGAATGAATGAGTATGAATACAGTTATCACACTGATATGCTGATAGGTTTGACACTGGTATGCTTCTGTACTTAATTTCAAAACATGTCTAAGTTTCTTTTTAGTATACAGCTTTAAGAAATATGCTTTATAAAGGTATTCTTCTTCCTTTACGTTAAAATATAGTTACAGCCAAAAACATTGCGGTAAAAATATCGCAGACGAAAACGTCGCGGAGAAAACAACGAAAGGCGAAAGCGTTGTGGCACAAAACATCATGGGAGAAAATAAAACAAAGAAAAAACATTGCAGTTCTAAAACATCGTGGTACAAAATATCGCTGTCGAAAATAAAGCGGTTCAAAAACTTTGCAGTTTAAAAACATCGTTGTCGAAAACATTGTTGTAAAAAATTGTTGTACAATTTATAAATTTACCTACAAATCATTGTATGACGATAAAGTCATAGACATGTGTTTTTCGGGCTTTAATAACTGTAAATGCATATTTGCATGATGATTTGTGAGCACAAGATGGAAAGAAGGATAATTTTTACTTTCATATTTTCTATTACCTAATAAATTTATAAAAAAGAAAACAAGAAACTTAAACCAAATCAAATAATTTTCTCTATAAGAGTATCAGATTAACAAAAGTGAATAAAACAATCTCATAATTAACTCAGCAATTTTGTATAGATAAGGGCATGCAGTTACTTATCTTCTTTTTTCTAATCTTTCTTAGATTATGCTTTACATGAAAAATTACCAGTAAAACTTTATAAAAATTTTTTATTAATGACCTTTGTTAGTTAATTACATCAGTTTAAAATTCTATTAAATGCTATAAGTTGCATTAATTTTTTATGCTTGAGTTTCCATTTTGCATTTTCAGCAAATATTTATTAGTTAATAAAAATATGAAAGTAAAAATTATCCTTCTTTCCATCTTGCGCTCACAAATGATCATGTGAGAATCCTTTCACAATTATGAAAGCCTGAAAAACGCATGTCTGCAATGTTGTCGTCATGCGATGATTTGAAGGGTACTTTATTTTTTTTACCACGATATTTTCGACGACGTTTTTAAACTGCGAAATTTTTGAACCGCTTTATTTTCGACGACGATATTTTGTACCACGATGTTTTAGAACTGCGATGTCTTGTAGCACGACGTTTTAGCCTTGCGTTGTTTTCTCTGCGATGTTATCGGCTGACACCGTTCTGTCGTGACTTTCTTCTGCCTTGTAATCTCTTGCTTGGTCGCTCTCCGGATGCGCCTCCATCGCCTGAGGAGTACATTGAACATCTCTAGGCACGGTTTGAAGTGACGCATGGTTTGCTTTCTTTACTCCCACGATGTTTTGTGCGACGACATTTTCACCTTGCATTGTTTTCTCCGCGACGTTTTCGTCCGCGATGTTTTCGACTGACGTCTAAAATATACAGGATTATCTAACAACACCTGATAGTTTTGAAAGCGAAAAAATAAACATACATTACTGTGCACACCAATGAACTTCCAATGGGAGGTTTTTGATCTATAAAGAAAGGACATTTATAACAAAAAGCAAAGTCACTCCCTTTTGGAGCCTATACGTCTGTTCAAAAACTAAATCTTTAAAATGGTCTCCATCAAACTGATTTGATGGACCTCACTCCGCTAATTAACGCTCTTACTACTGGATCGATTTCGGAAGTTCATCCTTATTCTCTGTAGCGTATTCTTTGAAATGTTTACAGTCGCTTGTGGCACGCATTGCTTAAGCCATTCATGCCATTGAATTGCATTGTTTAAACCACTGAACTGCATTGTTTAAACCATTCACCCTAGTATCGAATCTTCCGTTTCCCACAATAACAATACTATTGCATGATGGTGTATTAATATCCCCTGAACTGCTAACGAAGCCCTTAGAGGCAGGTCATTAAAACTTTTTGTGCAATAGGACAGCTCTTCGTAAACAAATAGCCATATGCTTTATGGTTTTGCGTGGCAAATTTAACATCGAAATGCGATTAAGATAGTATTACATGGTATTTAACTTTACAAGGTAATGTTACAAATCTATGGAGCCAAAGGTTTCTGTTTCAAAACTCTTAGGTATTTTTACCAAAGTAATTTATATTAATATTTCAAATAAGTTATCACTAACCTAGAATATTCTAATGTGATATCGAGTTCTCCATTGTGTTGAGGGGACTCCAGGGTGTCCAGTACAACCGAAGTGTCGGAGCAGACGCTGTCACAGGACATGGCTCGCTGGAGCTTTCCACTGGAACCTCCTTCGACTGCTTTGGAATACAAAGAAGAGAAACAGAACATAAGATTTTTATTTCTTTTAACAAACAGTAAAAGAAGGAAATTAATTTTAAAGCTTAATTCTCTGTTATGTATATCTCTCACATTTATTTTTTGTAAAAGAAATCAGTATGGCAGAAGCAATGTATTTATAAATCAATTTTCCATTTTGGCAGCTTGACAGTAAATGTGTCCTAAATGTGCGTTTGTTGCTTTATCTGTTATATTTTCTGCTAATAAAAATATGAAAGTAAAAATTATCTTTCTTTCCAGATTGCGCTCACAAATCATCATGTGAGTATCCTTTCACAATTATTAAAGCCTGAAAAACGCATGTCTGCAATATTATCGTCATGCGATGATTTGAAGGTACTTTATTTTTTACCACGATATTTTCGATGACGATGTTTTTAAACTGCGAAATTAAAATATACAAGATTATCTAACGACATCTGATGGTTTTGAAAACGAAAAAATAAACATAGATTATATAATAACATTAGTATCTACGTATAACTTTTAAACCGTAAAATTTCATTCCCTTGGGAAAAAAACTATGTTCTTCCCCCTTTTATTCAAATCAACTTTTAAAATTCTTAATTTATTATTTTCTTGCTTTAACGCAGATTTTAATCTGCTAGTTTCGCCGAAGGAAATCGCAAACTAAACACATTTTCTCTTTATTGAATAAATATTCTTTATGATATTAGAGTTTGGAAGGAAAGTTTTGCAACCGATTTTGCCATTTACGTTTCTCAAATTATGTTTTTTATCTTTTAAAATTATGCACATATTTTAAAATCGTAAAAAGATTTGAAATACATGGAAACTTATTTTTGAAATGATACTAAAGCATCATTTCTTCATATTTGGAAGGCTTTAAGTTTTAAAATGAATTCAATCTCTTAAAATACAAATTTACGTCAGGCTGCACGATTTTTACATAAAGCTGTGCTATTAAGACCAGATATTAAGTAGATCTTCGTGGGTTAGTCACTGTTATGATTCCATTAACTTTGTAGTGGCTTGAAAATATTCTAAAATAACTGTCAAAGCATATACATAATCTAATATTAAAACTAGACGCTTTTTGCGAAAACATTTTGCACATGCCCTATACCAAAAGTGGTATACCGGCAATTTTATTCTGACCGAGAGACAAAATCTGCGCCAGTCGTTGGCTTTGGCTTTTTTGGCTTTAGGCATCAAATGCATGACATTATGAAGTTGCCCAGCTCCGCTCCAATTCTGATAGAGAATACCCCGTTTACCCCATTTATCAGCATGTGAGCACACAGCTAACATGCCTCACTAACAGTGCCAAACATCAAAAGCCAAAATGGCGTATCAGACAGGCATAAAAATTAATTGCCTATGGATGCGTCCAAAAACTAATATTACACCAGCAAGTATATGTGCCGAGGTCAAAGTATAATACTAATCTAAGATCTAATACTATTCTAATAACTTAGTAAATAACAATAAATGTACATACAAGCAAACTAAAATGTAACAGAATAAAATGTACTGCAAGAAAATATGTTGAACAATAGGACCTGAACCATGAAACATATGACGCAAGCCGAAACCAGTCAAATGCACAATGCAGAATGTAACAGAAACAGTGCTAACATATTGTGATATTGAAGTAAATGGCATTTGCGTGCACGTGTTTCTTGCGTATGAGGTCATAATGGATTGAATGGACACAAAACCGATGATAGCTTGAAGAAATTTATTTTTCCCTAAATGCGTACTATAAATACTGGAACTTTTTCATGCAAACCTACTAGTACAGCTCTTCTCAGAATAACACAGTCAGTGGTTACCACTTCATGAACTACTAAGAATGTTAAACACAAGCATTACAAAAAAAAGAAAAAAAAAAAAAAAAAAAACTATGTTACCATAACTAAAATTGAGATTAAAATCAGGAAAATAAATAATAATTACTTAAAAAAATATAAAAACCTGAAATCTTTCAGACTTTACAGTACGTCCAAAGGGGCCTTTTTAGCGTTTTCTATGTTACCTTTATTTATTAAATATCATGTTCATCGAACTTAAATCATAAAATTCAGTTGAACAGCAATATTGCAAAAAAATATTTTAAATGAGCGTATCTTTAGAATTTTCGATGCACAGTCTCGCGAGCTGGAGATAGAAATGTTTTTTTTTTTTTTTTTTTTTTTTTTTTTTGTACAGTGTTGCTATTGCTCGCTTTTAAATCGTTGAGTTTGTTATTCAAAAATTCCTTCATGTTTTACAAAATATGAGACAGATAATAAAATGAATTCCAAATTCCAAATTTGGGCTTCCAGATGCCTATATTCGGGTGGAAACGTATGTTATTCAAAATTTGATGGCCCTAGGTACAGTTGTTTTATCACAATGCGAGAAAAATACATACATTTATGCAGATTATTCATTATTTAATTTCTTTAAATATAATGCAGAGCTCTAATATTTGGTGGCAACAATCAACCGACATTTCAGTGCAAAATGCCAAAACAGAATTAAAGTTCTTCGGGGCAAATTGCCCCTTTGGAAAACAAAAAAATGCACCCAAAGGGACATTTTTAACGTTTTGTGTATTACCTTTATCTATTAAATATCATGTTCTTTGCACTTAAAACTACAAAATTCAGTTCCACAGCAGTATCGCAAAATAATTTTAAAATGAGCACGCGCTGAAGATACATTTTTTTTTTCGTACAGTGTTGCCGTTGTTCGCTTTGAAACCACTGAGTTTGTTAATCGGAAATTCATTAAAGTGTTACAAAATATAATATCGAGAATAAAAAAAATCCAAATAAGGGCTTCCATATGCCCATATTCGGTGGAGGATTACGTTATTCAAAATTGGATGGCTCTAGGTACAGTTGTTTTACCACAATGCGAGAAACACACATATATTTATGAAGATTTTTCACGATTTAATTTATTTAAATATAATACAGGGCTCTAATATTTGGTGGCAACAATTTAAAAAGTGAATCGCCGTTTATTGTGAACCAAAAATGCCGAAACGAAATTAATAGTTCTTCTGGGTTAAAAAATCCCTCAAATGTTTAAGCTAGTACATCTTAAAATACTGTCAGCGAAACTCTGAATTGAAAACTGATCCTCTCCTTTGGTCTTGTACAGTTTTGTCCCGACCGTGGAGAAATTGTTCCTTCCTCGAAATTGCTAGAAGGTTACAGTTACAGTTACATAGGGATCGGCGCAGTTATACTTACACAGAGATTGTGCCAAAATGTCATCAAATGGTCATCATGTTTGGTGATTTTGGGTGATTTCGCACCAAATTAGGCGACAAATATTAGTCGCCCAAAACATCGCCAGCTTGGTGCCATCTGTCACTTTCTCGATTTAGCCATTTACGTCAATGTCAAATTGACTTACTCCAGCAACTCTACTTTTCCGGCGATGCATCGCAATCTGGAAACTCTCATGTTATATTATACAAGAAATAATACAATTTACATATACCATTAACATTATTTTCATATGTAATAATATTTGTAACAATATTATAATTTTCGCCTACATTGTGCAGTTACAATTAGAATGCAAGAAAGAAATAGATAATATAAATTAATCATCTTCTGATATTGGAGAATCTCCCCCCCGGGACGGACACCTATGCATTACAAACACCCATGCATTCTCCGGGATTCAAATCCAAGCTTAAGGCTGCAGCAGCCGATTTCTTTACCATCATGCCAACAGGACGTCTGTGAGATAAACTGAGTAATAGAAGAAAATTAAAATTTAGTTCGCTTTGAGTTAGCTAAAAATTAATTTTAAATGATATTAATACCTTATGAAACTAAATTCATAACGTTCCTCCCATCCCTAAAAAGAGAGATAGATCCCTCACACAAAATACGTATGTATAGCTTAGTGTAAAATACCTGAAACAAATATGCATTTTGGTATTTTAGTGTGCTTTTTAAAAAACATGTCTGATCTTAAATGTAGTAAATAAATAGTGCATCGTTTTGAAAGCTATTCTATAAGGAATAATAAGCTTTTTACAAATTTAAAATGACAGTATTATTTTAAAAACTATGACAAAAGAATAATTCTTCGAGTTACATTAAAATTGCAAGACATTACCCCAAGTTATGTTTGTAATTACAGGTAGACCTAACTGTAGTCTCATTTATATAATTAAAGTATGATTATGCATATAAAAGCTATTAGGAAGCAAGCTGGGATTTTGCGCAGCCTAATGTTTATATCAGCCATTTTCCAGATGCTTAAAAGGAGGCATTTGCAAACCTCATAAAGACGCTAAAGAACATTCTGGAAACATTTATAGTATAAAAACATAATGTTTTTTAGATGCCAAATGGAAAATATTACTTGTTTATTTTTATTTCCAAGTATGGAATTTTTAAGGTATTCAGCTGTTTGTAGGAAGTTTGCCAATATTATTTTAGGTTTTATTTGAGCTTAATGATCGTAAAAGGAATTTTTCTCTGTTGTTTCGCCATTTCTGATTAAATTAAATTTAAGTCTTCACTAATAATACAAAATAGATTTTTTATTTTAATAAAAATTTAAATAAAGTTCTTTGAAACAATTTAGTTTCAATTTTATTTATCCATTATTATACTCATGTGTAAAACAGCTTCGAAAGTTTCCTAGAATTACTCCCTCTCAAATAAAATACTGATAATTGGCAAAAAATTGCCAAATCAGAATTTGTAAGAAATCGTTGCATCATACCATATTGGGCATAACAACGCCGTTCCCCTTACACTATTCATGGAGATAGGAAAATTATTTCTTACCTCCAATGACATTAGCATACTCTTTTTGATAACTCATTAGTATTTTTAATGATGATACTCAAGGAGCAGCATTTTGACCCTTTGTCTGCAGCGTTACGCACCCGTGGATAATGGATAAGTGATCCACCGGTGGGTCTTAAGCACGTTCACGTTTGCGGCTGTGTGTACCACAGGTGGGCCACCTTTTCTGT